TTTTGAAAACAACATGTTCAAGTTAGGGAGGAGAGTCGTCATGTGTTCCCTTTGGAGAAAGCGTTGTATCCACGACATCGAGGGGGTCCGCATAGCAGGAGAAGAGGCAACAGATATGATAAAGCAATACATTCAACAAGAACTTATGGTACAATGTCATAAAGTTAAGAACCAACTTGAGTTGTTCCATTTAGTAAAAGACATAACACAAGCAATCCATCAATTCTCGGGGGAATGGTTGGGCAGTGTGAACAGGGGCTGGATTGCATCCGTCCGATGGGAGGGCAGGCTCGCCCAGAAGGACAATCAAGTGGAATTCAAGAGAGACTATTGTATTTGTTTCAAAGATTGGACTAAGGTAGGCTAGGATGTCCCCTTGCGACCACCCACAAAATTTCTGGACCCATTCCCGCCCCACCGACTGGCAATGGTTGATATGCAATGGTATGGAGCAGAGTGAGCGGACCGAGCAAGCGCACGGGCAGGACCACAGGTTGATGGGCATCGGCGGGCATTCGAAAGTGGTAGGAGCTAGCCGCTAGGGGAACAGGTGCGATTTGGCGGTCAAAGGCAGACTGAAGAGGCTGCTCTACTATCCAGCATATGTTTCAGTATTCATATCAATAACCCTGCTCAGTTAATGGCCTGGCAAGTAAGGCTGGCAGGCCATCGGAGGCACACTCAAGCAGCAACAACTGGGGAGGGGCAGAGGAGAGAGGGAGGAAAGGGATGGGTGTGTGGGCAGACTCGGAGGAGGGAGGGAGGAATATTCGTTTCCCCTATTGCTCAATATCCGACACAGTTAAGGTGTGTGGGGTCTGTGGGGGCAGAAGAGGGAAGAAGGAATTAGCTCTTTACATCAGTGGCTATTGGTCAACATCCTGCACAGTTAATCCTCTGGGCACCAGAGCATTTCTCAGTTTGCTCTCTCTGAAAAAAAACCACCAGTAGCTCTTTCGCTCATTACAGTCATAGTTCAAATTTGAAAGGGGAAATAGTGTGCAGCGATGTGTCTGGCGTCGGATTCGGGGTGAAGAGGTTCCCCCTTCCTTCCAGTATCCTGCTCAGTCAATCCCCTGGATCCCAATGTAATCAATGCTGGCAGGAACATCCCACAACTGTTTTTCTGATGTACTCCAAATTCAATCTGTATAAGGGACGCTGGACCCGCTTTCCAGCAGGTGATGCTCCCCACCAATAGATGGAGCCTCTCCCCAGGTGCTAGTGGTGTCTGCTCTTATCAGCACCACTAACACTGGTGGGGGAGTGTTTTAAAGAAAAAAAAAGGGGGAAGTACGTTTATGTCACATGGGAGTTCGTAATGGGCAGAAAAAACAGGCGTCGGCGTCTGTGTCAGGGCCTGAGTTCGAAGAAACGGTTATAATTTTCGTCGTCACGGTTATAATTTTGGTTGTCATTGTTTTTAATTTCAGGTGTTAAGCATGTGCCCGCATGGCCATTTTTGAATTTTTTCTTGAGTCTGCAAAATGGCTTCCCACTTTGCACTTGAGCGCCAACTTCTCTTTTTTATCACCCCTTGCCTACGTGCATCTCTTCATCTTCCTCCCCACCCTCCTGCACCCATAGCCCATTCATCTTGTGGTGGAGTTGACTGGACGCCGGTGGAGTTGGTCGGATCAATTGGTCCCACAAGCCTGTTTGTCAACAGTTCGTGGGTGTACCAACTGAGCTAGGCCTTCAGTTGGTCCTGCAACTGGTCTCAACACCGGCCCCGTGTCCCTGATTTGACTTTTTGTATATCCTTCTTTTGACCTCTTTTTCTTAGAGCTCAATTGAATCAGAGGATAAATCTACTATCTGTGAGAACGGACTTACGTTCAGACGAAACTTTTGATTGTCCCGCCCTTCTCAATCGTCTGGGACCTTTCTTTCTTTTGTCCTCCTCAACTGCCACCCTATGATCCCTCGCATAACTAGTTGGTGCCCTGCCGCCTTCCAGGCTACGGATTTCCACTGTCTCTTCCCCTCGTTTTGTTTGATGTCTGCTGCAATGTTGCGCGAGCTATGCGCGAAGGCTGCGGAGCGGTACAGGCTCGACGTGCCCAAGGACGGAGGGAGTGACGATGTGGGGTAAGCTTAGTGATAGTTTCAGTGGGTGGTAGTTGAACATGTGGAGCGGTGGTGGAGACAAAATCACACAGGTCCCGCCAGTGGCAGGGCTTTGCTGGCTGCACAAGCGGAGCACCAACATTGTTGTGATTTAATCTGACTTGCAAGGGACTGCTTCTTCTCCATCACTGCTTTGTCTGAGTGTTCATGTGTGCCAAAACCTACGTGTACATCTGAGTCGTGTGCATGGCCTTGGTTGCAAGTGCGGAACCGTTGCATGGTGCTTCGCTGTCAGAAATCTATGCGCGTATGGTGGGGGAATGCTCAATCACATGGACGATGATGGGTTGCTTTTACTCTCGTGGATTGCGTTGGTCTCAACCATCTTCATGGGTGTATGACTGTAATGACGCCCATTGATTTGGATGTAGACGAGGTTCCGCACGATGGCGCGGGGGTGTGAGGCCGTCATCCTTCCCTTTTACTGATCCCGCTCCTCTTGCACTCAGACAAGGATTGACACATCCAGCTAATCACTTGGTATGCAGTTGGTTAGGGAGTCAATTCATATTGCCTGATTTTCTTCGCACAGCCGCTAACATTTTCAGGAAGTGATAATCTGGTTCTGGGTTGTCTCCATCACTGTCTTTCTTCGCGCTGCGATTGATTCTGCAGGCAGGGACTGAAATAGGAACAGGAGTTGCACGGAGTCTAGATTCTCCAATTTGAGCGCAAGGGATGGTAATTGCCCGTGCTCTAACCTCTGGTCGATCTGCCATAGCACCCTCCCGCCGTTTCCAATTGCAGATGAAGATGGTGTTTACTGCGCCACGAACGTAAGGAGGACGCTATTGCGGACCGATCAAGTGCGTCTATGACCCATCTAAGCCGAGCCATATCGGCGGGGAGGGGTGACAGTCTTGAATGATTGTTTCAGTGTGCCACAACTGATTATGCCATGATCTGATCTGCATGACAGCATTCCACGTGGAATCTGCAGTTTGACTGCAGGTGGTGCAAGCTCAGAAACTCGTTCCCCTGGCAAGGATTGGTGCTGGGGTACCAAGGGTCCTTTCAGTTCCCGGATCTCTCCCACCACGCGGGTGTGCTTTCGGCAGGCTTCTGGGTCCTGGTACCTCCGTGGCAACCGCCATCAGATTGCAAGGAGTCCGATTAATCTGACGAATGGGATTAGCCCGTTCCCTTGGACTTCGAAGTTCCCTCTTGTATAGTGTGGCATACTGCGTAGCCACATGGGCCCTGCAGGGCCCGTCCCACACTTTCAGCCTAAAAGCCTAGAAAATAGGGCTTACAGGCCCCGGTCATTTCAGCCTGAAACTGAAAAACGAGGGCCTGCAGGCCCTATTTCGTTTTCAGCCTATTTCTGGGCCTTTCAGGCCCAGAGGCTTTTCAGCCTGAAACGGAGGGCCATTTTCAGGCCCTCATCGTTTCGACCGACCCTA